ACTCTAGGCTACTTTCACCTTCCAGTGTTTGAGGTGGGAGCTAGCTTACTTATGCTCCCCATCTGTTTCATTATGAAAGTTGATAGCAAAGAATTCTAAAGGCATTAAAGAGAGTTTAGTTCAAATTTATGGTGCCATTTTTGAAATTTTTTATTATGACGAATGAAAACGTTCGCATTATTTCAGCATGTACACGTTACTGGAAACATGCCTGGACCGACTTGATATCTTCGAATTCATAACGCACATGGAAAACGGGCTTAAAGTGAGCCTTTTCATTTTTTGTATTTACGTTGTAGTGGAGCTGGTTTGGATTACCTATAAGAAAAACAAGTACAAACCATTCATTGCTGTAATTCTGCCATTATTTCTTTTTCTGCTTTTTTGCCGTGTAGCGCTAGAGCGCTGCAACAGGCAGCAAAAGCGCATATTGTAACGGCCCTGTCAGTGTGTGTCTGTGTGTGTCTATGTTTGTGTGTGTGTTCGTCTGTCCGGGTATTTCAACTCGCTAACCACGCAAGCTTTGAAGCTGAAATTTTGCCAGTGTGTTCCCCAGCCAGATGCCACCCTAGCATCGCGGTTCCAACCCTCACGCTTGTCTGAGCCCCGCGCACAAGCACGTGAAAGTTTTGGCGCGAAAATTGCTAACTCGGGAACGAGAAAAGCTAGAAGGCTGGGACGGGTGGGGAATGTTCCCTACCCATGTATGACAAAAAGATTTCAAATTCAGCTGTCCAGGAGAGCCCTGGGCTTACGTACGGGTAAGTGAAAATTATGGCGGGAAAATTCATAACTCCAGAATGAAAAAAGCTAGAAAGTTGAGACTTGGGGGCAATGTTTAATACTCATGCACGACTGAAAGTTTTCATTCTCAGCTCTTTAGGACCGCCAGAGGTTCACGTACGGGCGCGTGAAAATTTTGGCGCGAAAATTACTAGCCCGGGAACGGGAAAAGCTAGAAAGCTGAAATTTTACCGGGAATGTTCTCTAGTCATGTAGAAACAAAATCTGTTGTTTAGAGGCGCCCGAAACCCAAGTACGCCA